TTAGACAGACATTTTTACCGCTTCTTGTTTAGTGGTATGATGAGCTGCACACTTTCATTGTATAGACATATTCTATTATGTGAGTATTTCTTTTTTTTTTTTTTAAAAAAAAGGGATGATCGGTTCCGGGTGTATATCTTCGGACCGTGAGTACCTTTATTTTAAATGCTTTATAAAATTATATCCTACTGGGCCTTTCGCTCACATTTTCCTGTTTTCAAATGTATTAAACCCTTCCAGGCGACGCGAGGAGTAGTGCGGAGTAGGTAGCTACTACCGGTGACGTGGACTTGTTTCAGGAAAGCGAAGAGTTGTATTTCCTCTTATCTTTTATTTCAAGGCATGTATAAGAGATTATGGATTGTAAACTTAAATATTACTAGACTGTGGTTGATATCATATTTACTTTTGTTTATGTTCATGTATGCTAAACACCTGTGGGAATTCCTGACATGATACCAGGGACGTGATTTTAGACTGGTTTGGTTGGAAATTCCACCACCGTTCTTGAAATTAAATTTCTCTTGAATGCAGGGGTTCGTTTAGAAATACCTGGATGTTTTGAATTTGAAAGAAATTAAATTATTTTGCTAATCACTCTCTCTCAAACAGGTTTAAGTTTCTAAACGAGCCTCCACGTCACTAACCCCGGTTTAGGGGCGTGACACCTCTGCCATCCCGGAGTTAATGGCAGCAAAATCAAATAGTAACACAACAAGATATGCAAATTAAATCAAGGCTGAGGTACATACTGAGTTCTAGTTTACAGAGGAGGAAGTTTGATTTGCTTTGAGATCTCCAATACGCGAGGAATGCAGAGCTTCAGTGAGGTGCCGGCGAGGAAGAACCTTGGACGTCGCCAATGGAGAGCTCTAGGTCTCTCCCTTCTCCTTCTACATCGACCTACGATAGTTGCCCAACCAATTGGTTCCCCACAAATTTACCCGTTTTGAATGGGGACCAAAATGATGAAGAACAGATCTAAAATTTTAGGCTAGGGTTTCTCAAACTTAGATTTGGGAAAAATGAAAACTCACCGGTTTTGAGGGTATGCCTGCAGATGGTTTTAAGCGTGAAGGAGCAAGAGCATGAGCAGAAAAGGGTTGTCAGTGGTCAACCAATGCTCTGCAACTCGAGAATCTGGTAGAGAACCACGTGATCAGTGTACACAACGGTTAATAGAAGGATAGTTGTGAAGCAGGAAACGGTCAAGAATTGTGACTGTTGGCACACGCGATGGAATATGAACTATAGCAGAGTAGTGAAGTAAACTCGAATTGATGGGGAGGATAAACTTGAGAATAAATAAAAGTATGTTCTTTTGCCCTTTTTGAGTTAGGTGATTTAAGTGTAGATTTTGAGTTGAGTTTAAATTATAACTTGAGTTGAAGTTGTAACTTGAATTTGTGTTTGGTTGTATACATTTGAGTTATGGTTTGAGATAAAAATATTTTTGAGTTTATGTTTGAGTGAGTCAAAACTTGAATTTGTATTTAGATAATATTTTAATAAAAACTCAATGCTGATGAAAAATTTTAATAGGGTATATGGGTAGAGTTTTATTCGTCTTTTCGTTGTCAACGCATAGAAAAAAAATCATCTCAATCAGAATTAAAATGAAAATGTTATAACATTTTTGAGAATATAAAAAATATTGTTCATTAATTTGAGTTCGAGTTTCTGAACTCGAGTTGAAGGGAAAACTTAAACTCAAATTTTAATTTCAAACTCAAGTTCAAACTTAAATTTAAACTTAAAAAAATATAAACTCAAATAAAATTATAACTTAAATTATTTTTTTATATTTTTAACTTAAAAAATGAGGCTACCGAACAAACCCTAATTCACTCGAGAGTAATTTCAAGTGTTGGTTCGAGTGCGCAAAGGGTGAAAATTAACTTTGACCACGAGAGTGAGTTTACTTCCAAAGGAATCAGCATCTCCAAATTCCCCAAATACACGACACACCAAAAACAAAAGCAAAACAAAGAAGACTCTCTCTCTCTCTCTATCTCTCTTTCTCTCTCCTCATCCTACGCACACAGAGCACAAGCGTGACCATGGCTTCCTCCTCCTCCTCATCTTCTTCCAGGAGTCAACGTCAGGTCCCGATCCTCCTCCTCCTCGTCACGTGGATCTCAATCGCCGCCTCCGTCGCCGCCGCCAGGCCCTGCAAAACCCTGTGGGTTTCCTCCTACTCCTTCTCCCTCCGCCAGCAACCCTCCTCCTCCGGATCCGTCACCGTCTTCACCGAGATCAGCCACTTCCGCCCCCTCCTCCCCGCCGACGCCGCCTTCTTCATCGACGTCGACGACCGCCCCGAACTCTCCCAATTCCAACTCCAACAGCAACAGCAACAACCACAACCACAACCACAACAGCTTCTTCCTCGGATTCAGCCTCTCCTGTCCTCCGCCGCCGCCGATCTCAGCTCCCTCCGCGACCGCACCAAGGACATCCTCAGCGTCGTCGTCGCCCTCCTCTTTGGCGTCGGCTGCGGCGCCCTCACCGCCGCCACCATGTACCTCGCCTGGTCCCTCTTCTCCACCCGCAATGACTACTCCGAAGAATTCGAAGACGCCGACGAGCTCAGCCCTAAGAAGATGGGATACGTCAAGATTCCCGCCGCCGATTCCAAACAAAGCGCCGCGGTATGACCTAATCATGATCATTATCGACTAAAACCCTAATTTGTGTATTTGGAAGACAGAAATTTCAAGTGTTTGTATATGAAACTGTGATGGAGAACTGGTCATTCAGACTTTGTGCTTCTTTGTCGTCGTTTTGTGTGGTTGATAATCATCATGATACATGATACTAAAGCCAAGTGCCTGTGATCTGGTCTGTATTTATTGGTTACGCTTTTTATGCGTTTAAATATCTGTGTATGCTTTTATAATCTGCTGCTCTTGCAATGGTTTATCTCTTTTGTTTGTGTTATCTCTTGTTATTTTCTGTATTATCAAGTGCTTCCAATGGAGTTGAATAGCCCCAATTTGCTTCTAAACTTGAAGAATGTGATTATCCCCATCAGGCTTGATTTTCCTTCCTTCCCCAACAAATGCCACCCAGTGAATGACCATGTAACACTGATTATATTTGCTTCATGTACGATATCAGTACATTGCTTTCTGTATGGAAATTTTATAGGTCCTTTGCCACCGATGGCATAGCCTATAAGTTTATAACTCCATTCTTTGTTCTGCTATTTCTATTGTTCTTGCTCTGATTTTACCAGAAAATTAGGGTTTCCTATCAGGTCTTTCCTGCCGTATTGTGATAAATTTTTATCGTATTATTACATGTAGAGGGTTTTAGAAAAATAGTTAGGGGTTCCATTATGATTGAAGGCTCAAGTTTATTTTAGTCTTAAGGGGCTACTTGAGTGGTCCGATTAGTAGTTGAATGGTTTCTTAGGGTGTCTACCTGGAAGACGACCGTGAGTTTCGTGTTTCTTTAAGATTGTAGGATTCTTCGCGGTCTCTAGTCTCGAACATGAGCTCACTTGGTAGGCCTGGGGCATTTTTGGGGTATTAAAGAAATAGATTTAGTTTTGGCAATTCTCTCTTAAATTGCAGGATGAATGTAATTTTTGTTAAGGAAGCTATCTGATTTTGTTAAAGTAAGATGCTTAAAAACAAAGAGATCTGAGTTGTATGATTGCTGAATGTAGTATGGGGTTATGGATATGAACGCAAACAAGAGAACTTTCTGTTTTTGAAGGGCTATACGACGTAAAGTAAGAGGAAGCTTGTAGGAATCTTCTGCGTATAGCTTTTATTTGGAATTTTGGGGAGCCATAACTTGGTTTAATTTAGGGGAAAGGAAGATATACGTTGTTAAGGAGGTTGTAGTGGAGCAGATGAACAGACAATATTGCGTTTCAAATTGATAACAGAGTTAATAACTTGGCTTTCTGTTTGGGACATGAAAATATGAAAGTAGTAAAAAGTAGTGCCATACTCTCATCGAAGAACTTTTCATGCACAAACTAACGATTCTCTTCAAATGACTATTAGCCTATCGTATTTTCAATTTTCATGTAAAATATAGTCATGAAAGTTCCATGGAGAAATAGGACGTGGAATTGTAGCCTTTAAGGAAATTGTAGAACCATTTTGCAGAATACTTTGGGATGCGCTTGAGATTGTGATTGAAATTAAGTAGAATCTGAATCTGAATCTGAATTTGAAGCCTAAACCCCATCCGAAATCGTTGAATGCCGCCCGGTAAAAGTACCCTTTGTCTTTCACACCTTTACTGCAAATTGGAAATCACAACACAACAGGGCAGAAGTGGGATTAGAATGTGTCAATGCAGTATCCCTCCGATGCTAAGCTAGTAAGCTTTACCCTCTCAAATGAGGAGTATATTTTAGGAATTAAAAAAAAAAATCCTTCTAATACTGTATAACTGTCGACCGTTAGATACGATTTTGATGTGATCTAAATCAAATAATTACAACACTATGGGGATCCTGGATTATGCTACTATAGTTCTGGTTTATCATGACTTACTTTACGGCTTTATGGACATAATGCAAATGTTGAAGAACACATCTCACTCGATGTGGATCCGTTTTAGTTCTTCAAGTCCACGTTTATCATTCCCCGCTTCGTTAGCCCCTTCAAAGAAAACATTATCATTCAAGATTGCGATGCAGATTTTTACGTGTATTAGCATGTGTATACATCTATAAGCAGAAAAATTCCAACCATTTTCAGTAAATGTAGATTTTAGGACTTCTAATGAGAATATTTGGGTTTAGGATTTTCTTATCAAGGGACCAAGAGGCTTTCCATCTTTCCCTGCGATAGTCAGAACATTGGAAAACAAGGATTGAAATGCATTTAGTATTATGTTCGCAATTTTCTTAATGCTGACGTGATATTGACTTTACCAACTTCCTTAGCCAAGGAATCAATTCAACACCATGGTGCAAGACTTGAGCCGCAGACTGCGTTCCCTTCCGAGCAAATGCCGATGTGTTGTAGTAATCAATCCAAAGAAATAATCACTGTTTTTTAGAGAAAGTAGGCAGCCTCTCCTTCACCGAAGCCCTCATACTTTTTGGATAGTCTCCATAGAGACCAATGGTTCGAAAAAAATTCCATTCAAACTTCTTTCTAGAACTAGCATGAGTCACGTGCCTTAGGCACGTGTCTGCTATGTTGTTATGCTTTAAAAAAAATTTGTTCAAATTTATTCACAAAATAGAGAAAAGTCCTATTAAATTAATTATAATAATTTTTATTGAACTATGTTAATTCTGCTTAATTTTTATTGTTAGAAGTTTCATTATTTTGTGAGGAGATCGACTTGCTTGGCTCAATGAAAGTTGAAGGAAATATTTAATACTAATGGACAATAATATTAATATTTGATTATAAAAAGTTTTATTAGATTGCATTTGATGTCCATATCATTTAATTCCGTCTAATTTTGATCATTACACAATTCTATTGCTTTGATAGGAGATCAACTTTTTTTTTTTTGACTAGTTGAAAGAACAATTTGATTGCCGTAAACATTTGTTCAATATCCAAATGTGAAGTAAAAAATTGAAAGACATAAATAGTAAATATAAAATAAATAAAAACTTCGAACATATTTGAGAATAATTAATTCAATGAAGTAATTGAAAAAATTATTGAGGTCATGTTTGAAAAAAAATATATATTTAGAATGCTTTGTAAGAAATGTATAAATTGAAACATATTTGAGAAAGAGAAACGCTACTTTAAAGAGCAAATAAAAAAAAATTACTATAAATTATTAAGGATAAGATTATGAATAATAAGTATAGAGTCATTTAACTTGATTTGATTACATCCTCTTCTCTTTCATACGTTAATCAAACAATACTCAATGTGTTATTTATTAATGGGCCCAAACCCAGTTAAAGGCCCAAGTACTTTTTAAAAGCCCGACAGTAAAGAAGCATGGGGAAGAAGAACTGATCAGAGTTGCGCGAGGCGAGGGCAAAGCTGAATACGTACGCCTAATTATATCCGAATTAGGAGATATCATTAAAAGAGTTATGTATAGGGGATTTATTAACAGAAAACCCTTAAGCCTGATTCAGAGAGTTAGATATAATTTTATTTTTTTTTCACATAGCAAAAATATTCTCTTCCTATTCACAGTGAATGTAGCTCTCCGTTGAGAGTGAACCACTTAAATTCCGGTGTTTTTACGTTTAATTTTTATGCTATATCTTTATTATTGCATTTATTCATCATTGGTTAAGTATTAATTAACTAAGAAATTAATTTCTTATTGACTAATTTTCATAGTCAACAATATATGTATATGTATATTATATATACTTTTTGACGTTTCACACCGCTACTGCATATGGCAAACCATAAGACAAAAGGCAGAAGTTGCGATATATTAATAAGCTTTAATTAATTTTTAAGTATAGAAAACGATAAAAATTTAGAGGACTGCACCAAGCTCAAACGGAGAACTATTACAGAAACGACTTAAGTTTCTAAAAAGAATACAGAAATGCCATCGCAATGAGGTCACAGTGCTAAAAAAGGACATGATATTGAAAAACGGCAACGTCCAAAATGAAAGAGACGGAATAAAATTTTCATTGGCTGAGGTAACAAGGAAGAGACTACATCGTCTGAAAAAAGGAGCACGAAAACATTTTTCTCTTGCTTCCATGAAAGTTGATGACTTTATATATGAACTTATGATATGTTGAAATTCTAAAAAAAACAACAATAAAGGGTCTTTTTACACTAAGATCTCGTATCGATAGTACACGTTTTTAATTATTAGTTCTAATTAAAATCATATTGAAAAGAAAGTATATGGAAACAGTTTCTGAAATAAGATTTGATGGTTGAAAAATAAAACCCTATAAATAGTGTCTAACCTAACATTCCTAGTTATATCTCAAATTCTACAATACCAAAGATATTTAGCTTTAAATTTTAATTGCCTTCATCGGTATAATACTGAAAGTCGTCAAAGCTAATTAAGATAGATAAAGAAATACAACTAAGCAGATTAGCAAAAAAAAAAAAAAATATATATATATATATATATAACTAAGCAAAGGCGTTACAAATATCAAATGCTTTTGGCAAAATTATATTAACCATAAACTTAAAACCAGAAGGAAATGAGATTCTATCCCCGCAACGGCAAAGTTGCAGAGGTTTCAATTAAAATTGCCCTCGACCAAGTATTATTTTCCTCTCTTCTAGAGGTTTTGTTTGAAACTACTACTACTACTACTACTAATAATAATAATAATAATACTAATAATAATACTAATACTAATACTACTACTACTACTACTAATAATAATAATAATAATAATAATAATAATAATAATAACAATAATAATAATAATAATAATAACAACAACAATAATAATAATAATATTAATATTAATATTAATAATATTAATAATATTACGCGTGTTATGTATTAGATAATATATATCTCCATCTAATCTTTAAATTAAATCTACAACATTTAAGAAGTAATAATAATATCAAGTATAAGCTGAAAGAGAACTTTATATCTATTGAAAACTCTATATGTGTGTGTGTGCATACATATATATATATATGGAAAAATGGAAGAGTTTAGGTTTTTCTCACGGCTCAATACAAAATGAAGGTATAAGTTTAAAAAAATATTAAAATAAAAGTATTTGCTGTATTGAATATCGATGTACATACATAAGATATCATAAAGTCAGGTTTAAAAAAGATTAGCCCAGACAAACTTGTTGGAGCCACGATCCTGTATTTATTTGTTTATTTATATTAATTAAATGTGAGGCGTACTTTAAAAGCTTTGATAAAGGGTGTCAAAACTCCAAATAGTAATGCTTTTCAAATCATACAAGGGCGTTTGGTATGTGTAAATCAGTAGGAATTATATTTCCAGAAAAGTAATGGAGGGTAATATGATTCCTAGGAATAATTTATTACTGTGTTTGGTTCTATACATGAATCTTTTTCAAATTCTCAGGAA